AAAACCGCAAGAGTAGTTATTTTTTCTAATATGAATAGGAGGCTAATATCAAATCACCTTTAATTTTCCACCCTTTCTTTGCTTTTTCGATGGTAGGTCAAATCTAATAATACAGATACAATGGAAAACCATTTTAGTTTTCATCTATCACAGTACATATGCCCACTGCAGATGTATGTCTCAAAAACCAGGGTCTGGAATTTAAACAAGTACCTGCACACTGACGAGGCTGCTTCCTCTAGGAATGTTCTGCTGGATGCCAATCCTGCCTTGCTCTCACAGGCTGGGAGAAGCTGATCCATGAAACAGAATAAAGCATGGTCTTGTCTATAAATCGTACATCCCACAGAGCTCAGGTCACAACATTTGCCGAAAGGCAAGGAAGACCATGAAGACCCAGCCACCAAGTTCCATAAGGATTAGGGAAGAAAAGTGGTATAAAGGCGTTTTGAAAACATGAGCCTGCTCTCCAGATGTGCGTTACCAAAGGCCTAGTGAACTCTCTTTTCCATGTGGCCTAAATTTAGGGTCAATATGGATAGATTTGTGGACAGGGGGAGCTGGTGACCAATAGGAAGTGCCGTATAGTGGTTAGGAAGTTCCAGAGTCTGGCGCAATGCCTGGATTCGAACCCTGACACTGTTGCATTTTGTTGTTATAATGGGCTAGCTCCTCTGTTTCTTTGGGCCTCAGTTGCCTCGTCTATAGAACGGGGATAATAATACCTAAGTCATAGGGTTGTTGTAAGGATTAAATGAAATAATTCTTATAAAGCACTCGGAACAAATGTTTGGCATTGAGTCCACTCTCAATGAATGTTGATTGTTATTGCTAGTGTTATCAACAATAACATTATAGTTTCCAATGGGGAAGGGACCCATGGGTGGATAGGTTTTATGTGTAGATGAATCATGTAACCTGAAGCTATATGGACTTCACATGGAAGGGAATTTGGTTGGTTTAGGGAAACCAGTTTGGGTTTCTAAAGTGTAGACACCTTGAAAGCTGTCCTGTTGAGTAGACTTGACTGGAGGCTTCATGGTTAAATGGTGAAACTGCCTCCACATAGATGCCCTCCCAGGCAGGCAAGTTCATCCTCCAGGAACAGACGTTTTCATTGAAGATAAAACATACAGAAACCATTCATCTTTGTCAGTTTGGGCTGCTACCACAGAATATCACAGACTGGTGGCTTAAACAACAAACATTTGTTTCTTGCATTTTTGGAGGCTGGGAAGGCCAAGACCCAGGCACCAGCCGATCTGGTCTCTGCTGAGGGCAGATGGCTGTCTTGTCTCTGTGTCTGCACGTGGCTTTAGTCTCTTTCTCTTCTTATAAGGGTACTAATCCCATCATGGGGGCTCTGCCCTCATGATCCCATATAAACCTAATTACCTCCCATAGACCCCACCTCCTAATATCATCCCACTGGGAATTAGGGTTTCAACATGAATTTTGGGGGGACACAAACATGCCTAACATCATTTAACTGACCAAGCTTATTTCAGCCTTCTAGAAATTAACACTCTTCAGGTGGGCATCACGGACAAGGCCCCTTTGAGGGCTTTCTTCTATCATGAGTTTTGTGTGTCTAAGAGATTTGGGTGCCTTTTTATTAAACTAGATTTTAAGAGTCAGGGATCATTTTGCAGCATTTTCCCTTGGATCTAGGTGTAGGCCGACATTGTGGCCTTCCTGGCTCTGGTCCTCACTTTCAGAGGACCGCTCCTTCTCTCTGGCCTCAGGCCAGCGCTGGGCTCTCCCGCCTCCTTTCCACTGACACTAAGGGTGAATCTTCCACAGATCTGGGATCCACACCGTGTGGCTGCTCTGGGGTTTCCGGGTTTGCTCTGCAAGGTTGGCTGTGCATCGTGGTCACGGGGCAGGCAAAAGGCCTATCGTTAGCAAAGTGAGATCAGGGAAGCAGCCAGGGAATTCAAAAGAATGCTTAACCCATTTCTGTCCTTGTTATCTCTGTGGTTGATAGTTTTAGATGTACTCACTGTTTAATTAATTGACCAATCAACAACATTATGGCCTAAATTTTGTGCACCATTTCCTTGATCAGGACTTCAGGATGCAAATTAAACAAGAAAAAAGTGACTTTGTTTTGTCCCCCCCCCCCTTTTTTTTTGGCTTGTTTGTATTCTCTTTTTTCAAAAAAGGGATCTATTCTAAAGTGGCTAGTTTATCTATGTAGAACCCAAAATAAAGATGGCAATGGAAAACTTTACTCTGATACTGGGACAGGGCCATTTGTTTGAATGTTACCTTTCTGAATCACTGGACTGATTGACTGGACTTCTGTTTTCAACTACTTGTGGTGCTCTAGAAACAGCCTAAAGCCTGCGGCCGAGGATGGGGCCTACGTATGTACAGGTGTGCACGTATGCGCGCTGTGTGTGAACAAGCACTGCTGAAACAAAATAAAATAGCAGAAGTGCCTGAGTGCCTGCTCCGTGCCAGGTACTTTATTTCATTTACCCCTGTGACAAACCCAGGGCGCAAGTATTATTAGCATTACGTATGAGGACACAGAGGTTAAGGAAGGGGAGGCACTTTGCCCATGCTCCGGTATCAAGTAAGAGGAAGAACTGTGTCTCCAAACCAATCTGTGTGACTCAGAAGACTGAACTCTTTCACTTTGAAAAGGGAGGTGAGAGGAAACAGAAGAGAGCTAGTGGGGGGTGGGAATGTGGAGAGAAGGCGAGAGAATACCCCAAGGACAGGCTCTAAAGAATTCTGGAGAAATACTTAATGAAGTCTGAGCCACGGTGCTTATTCTGCCCCTGACTGACTGTGCCCCAGACTTGCAGCCACCTTAAAGCCTGTCAGTCTGCTCTCTCCCCATCCCCACGCCCCATTTCTCACTCCCTCCATTCCTCTTCTTGCCTGATGGAAGCCTGGGCTGCCAGGATGACTCTTTGTCCCAATGCTGGAGTCTGGTCTCCTCCATCTGGAACAGGGCTCCCACGGGGGTGGTGGGGAGGCCAGGACCCTGCTTAGGAACCACAGCCCCGGTGGGAGGCAAGTCTCGCAGCCCTTGTCCTGAGCTGGGTCACTTGTGGGAGGGCGCCTGGGGCCCAGGGGTGAAGCGGGGCTGGAGAGGTTTCTCTTTCCAGGCTGACTGCTCCCGGCAGCTCGTCCCTCAGCCACCCAGCACCCATCTGCCTCATTTCTCATGCTCTCTTCTAATGAGCCAGAGTGTGGACTCTTGGCCACAGGTGGTTCTCCTTAACCAGTCACTGGGGCTCAGTACGTGTCATCCAGATGGAGCTGTGACGATGTGGCTTTCATCTGCATCACAGGGGACCTTGTGGGAGGGAAGCCCCATTTCTCCCCCTCTGGTCCACATCCCTCTTCCCAGAGCAGTGCACTGTCACCCAAGAGGCGCTGCCACTTTCCTGGTCTTGGGAACCTCTGCAGAATCTCCTCGCCGGAGCACTCCTGAGCGAAGAGCCAAGCCAGGGTAAGTCTGTGCATATAAGGCCTCTATTTCAGATTAGATTCACAAATTTAATTTCCTATTCCTTAATTTAATTCTGCATTTTAGTTTTGTTTTTATTATTTACATGGGTTCCCTTTAATGATTCCAAATTGCTGCTGCCCTCTAGCAGTATTTTGTCTTAGGTTAACTTCTTGAAAACCGATCAGCATTGGAGTTTATTCCGCGCTGGGTTTAGTTATTTTCTGAAATGAAGCACAATTAAATTAGAATAATGAACATGCTCTTTAGAGGATTAATTCATAATAAGCAGGCCATGTGCTACAGCTCACAGAAGAAAGGGCACGAGGATCGAAAGCTGTTTTTTCTGCCTAAATATGAAAAGTACATTCTGCAGAGCAGAACAAATCAGCTAATGACATCCAGAGCGCTGGCCAGCCCCAGAGCAGCACGGAGCTGGCATCTTGAGTTAGCGCGATCCCCGCCGACGCTGCTGCCTACCTTCCCTCCCTGGGAAGGCTGGCAGTGGGCAGTTAGTCTGGCTCCTTTCTCCTTAGCACAGCTGGTAGCGGCCACTGTGGGCCTCCTGAATTCTAGTCCAGGAAGCCCCAAATTCCATCGACTGTGGCTTCACAAGCTTCATCCTCAGAGCTTCCTAGAGCCCAGCCACTTGTTCGTTCTTTCATCCGAGGAATGTTTTACTGCCTTCTGATATTCACCACACATCCGCGAGCCCATCCTTGGGATACAGCAGTGAAGAAAACGTACAAAGACCTCCCCCACCATTGGAGGTTACACTGAAGCAGGCAAAGACAGGCAATAAATGGTAGAAGTAATAAGTAAATTACATATTATGTTAGAAGGTGACGCGTGCTACAGAGTAGGGAGGGTTGAGAGCACACGCGTGTGTGTGTTTGTGTGTGTGTGTGTGTGTGTGTGTGTGTGTGTGTGTGGTTTGCAATTTTAAATATAGTAGGTTGGGTCGGGCTCATGTGGAAGGTTTCAACTGAGCGAAGACATGAAGGGGGTGAGAGGGTGAGACATTTCGCCACTTGTGAGAGTGTCTCTGGGGTCGAGAGTGTTCCAAAGGAAACTGTGGCAAAAGCCCTGAGGTAGGAAGGTGGCAGTGAGTTGAGGAAGGACGAGGCCAGTAGGGGCAGAGGGAGTGAGTGAGAGGTGAGGGGGACCAGGTCAAATGGGGCTTGGTGTTTGCTCAGAGTGAACAGAAAGTCAGGGCAGGGTTTGGAGCAGAGGCAGGATGTGATCTGACTTTACTGAAGGATCTCTGGCTTCTCACTGAGCATAGACTTTACGGGGTGAGGTGGGGTAGGGTAGAAGGGAGGTGGGAGACCTGTCAAGAGGCTAACAGCTTAGGCTTCTAAAAGTCCACACCCAGGTTTTCCCATAGCATATTTTCTCCCCCTTTCCCCCACAAAAGTGCAGAGCTCTGGCCTCAAAGCCAGGCATGGAGACTTAGAGTCTCCTGTAGGCCCCTGCCTCCCAGAAGGACCAGAGTAAAGGTGTTTAAACAGCCAGAGCTCACACACTGTGACACATGTCCAGACCATTATTCCTTGCTTGGCCCTGGAGACCCCTCTGCAGCCCCTCCCAGCCTCTCCCGATGACCATGGAGCAGAAGGCCAGATTCTGCAGGGGAAGGGGTCTCGCAGGCAGGGGACAGCTCTGCACCGTTCTTGGTCGTTTCAGGCACCACTGAGAGGGAGACATCCTCTCAGCCAGGTTCCCCACAAGGTACATGAGAGGCTTCTGCTGTGCAGCTGCCATAGAAACAGGGGACAGATCAAAGCAGGAGAGGACCAACATCTGTGGCAACCAAAGTAAGGACGAGGTACAAACAAACTGAATGAGTAAATAAGCAGATGAATGATTGATGGGTGAGCGGATGAATGATTAATGAGTAAATGAATGATTGATGAATAAACGAAAGTATGGCCTGGAGCCTGCTCCTGCTCCCTGATCTTTGGGTATATTATCTCCTGGGAACTGAGGATTAAAGATTCTCCCGTGGCCCTCACCTCTGGAATTCCCTGCTAGAGTTGGGATCACACTGGCTTCCAAGCCCAGAGGTGAAGGAGGCTTTGGCTTAGGAGCAGGGGCCTTTGGCTGCAGGGGTGTGCCGAGGGAGGAGGCTGGAGGCAGTGGGGCTGGGCTGGAAGACTCCTGAGCAGCCTGTCGGTTCTAGTGGGGAGAGCTCCAGGGATCTGGGAGAAGAGAAGGGTGTGGGGGAAGAGAGGAAGAGGAGAGATTTGGGTTTTGCTTTCCTAGTCCCACACTGGACATTCTGCAGATGCTGGGCCATTCTACAGCCTATAAGGATAGGGATAGAGAAGACTGTCTCAGCTGAGTCCTGGACTGTATTATCCCAACAGACAGGAAGATTGAAGTGACTGAAATTGTCAGAAATTTCCCCAGTGGGGCAGGCTGGTGAAGACTCCAGCTCAGGCCAAGGCACTGGCACCCCCACTTCCAGAAGCTCAATGCAGATCCTGGTGCCTCTCTAAAGGGAGAAGAGCCCTGTGGAGGGGGAGTTCAAAGACACTGTGTCTGGAGACCCTGGGCTCACAGCCCAACCCAATTTTGGAGGATGGTCTTGCCTGGGGATTCCCATGGAATCTAGACTGTGAGTTTGGGGTCAAAATACTGCTCAGAAGAGTGTGTATACACATTCCATTGTATTTTCTGAACTTTAATAGATAATTGTAATCAAAATGGTGGCCATTTACCGAGCCCTTACTAAAGGCTAAGAGATTTGCCTTCTTTATGTCATTTAATTCTCTCATCAACCCCAGGATGTAGATGTTTTTACCCTCATTTTACAAATGAAACTGAGGCACTGAGAGGCTGAGTGACTTGCTGATCAGTGATAGAACCAGAACTCAACCCAGATGGCCTTTTGGAGTTGAAAACTGAAGGGACTTTTCCTGGAGGCCTCTTCTAACAACTCAGCTGATCTTTCACTCCTCTAACACGTGGTTCTTAACCCTTTGGGGGGCTGCAGATCCCTTTGAGCGCTTGATAAGAGTGTAGAGCCTCTTCCTAGAAAGTACACATTTTGCACAAGTGCATTTCCCAGGCAATTTCAGGGACCCACAGGCCTCCTGAACCCTGCTTTAGGTATTTACTTTCTGCAGCAACTGTTTTCCTTTCTCATAACCCAAGGGCACAGGGCAACCCTTGGGGCCCCCAAAATCACCCCAGTGGGGAATAGAATCAGACAGGACAGGTTAATCAATGAAAGCTCACTGCGTGCTCCTTCCATAATTGCATTCCTGCCTTTTCATCCTAACAGCCAGCACTTAGGGTAATTGCATTCCAATAAGGCTCCCAGGTCTGGGGCCTCTGGGGCCTGCCCTGGAACCTGTTGACATGCCATCTGCTTCCAGAGGGGTTCTGCAGACCAAGGCAACCTTTTAAAATTCTTCTCTGTTGTCTTAGCTATAAGAGAGACAAAGGACCCTGTAACAGATCTTGTCCCGAATCCTACTTTCTTAACCCACCCACATTAGCTCTGGAGTCATGGAGGCTTCCTTGATCCCAGGTTGTCTTTCTGAAGTCAAAAGAGTAGCACCTGCTATTCCAAGTGGATGACCTTTGGAAATGCCTGGCTTCGGAGCAAGGTGGCCACCACTGGGCCTGGCTGGACAGAACCAGCTCAGGGCTAGAGAATCAAAAAGCTTGAGAGCTCCCTTAGGGGCCAAGTGTTGTGCTGCCTCAAACATTGCCAGCGTCACTCGTTTATTGCTAAGATTTACTGGAACCTCCCCAAAGGGTTCCTACTCTTTGCAAAGGAAACCCACAATGCAAGGAAGTAGGGAATCCCCCCCAACAGGGGGTTTCAGGAATTCAGTTACATTATGTTATATTCCAAATATATATATTGTATATATAATATATATATTATATTCCAGAAATATAACTTCCTCTAAAGAAGGTCCATGCATTCTCCAGGCACCGTGAAGTCCATTCAATTAACAGAAAAAGTGCAGAGTTCGTGATGATTTGAGTTTCACTGTTTCCCAAATAGAGATGGCTCATCTGCTCACCCCCACCAAAGGAATGAGGCATAAAATGGAGAGGTCTGGTGTTTGTTATATGACTTACAGATGCCCCCTCCCCCACCACGACCCCAGACGCTTCTTCCCTGTAAAGAAAAATTTCCTCTGGGACTCCTCATTCTCTTGGGTCTGAGCCCCAAGAAGCCCTCCACAAGCCCGGCTCCCTTGGCCTGCTCCCAGGGCTGAGGGCTGATTCTCTCATCCCCGCTGAACCCTTTGCTCAGAGGAAATGGCATGTTTAGGGATGGAAACATTCTTGCCGCAGGAGAAGAGATAGAGTCTGGACTACAAAACCATGAGTATTCCTGGTGGGTAATCCCCCTCCAACGTTGTAATCCTTGCAGCTGATCCGTGGTTTAGCAGAAAGAGCATCGATTTTCAAGAAGGCCGACCAGTGTTTGAATCTTGGCCCCACCAATCCCGAGCTGTTTGCCATTGGGCAAGTCACTTCACCTCCCTGCAACACAGTTTTCTTCTGTTGGGGGTAGGGGAAGCAGAGATTTACTTTACAAGGTTCAAACTGAAGAGAGAACACATGCCATGGTGCCTGGCATTTGATAGGTGATTTGATTTCCTTTCCTGTACAAAGGCACAAATTTCTAAAGCATTTGGCAGACATCAGAAGATGCTTTCTGGCCTTGCCACTCTCCACCCCACTGCAATCTTCCTTATCCTAACCTTTCCCCCTACCTACAGCAGATAGCCTAAACTCCAAATCATAGCTTCAGGCTTTTCCCAGCAAACTTGGTTCTCACCAACAGGTTTGGCATCCCTCCTAGGGTTCATGGCGGCGCCAGTGCAGCCTCTGAAATGGGGACACCCACAGACAGGTCAATTTGCCAGTCCTTGCCTCTTCTGGTTTGACAGCAGGATCCTTACATCCAAGTCTGTTAGGGCTGCTGTGCGCCTCCCATGGGTAGTGAGATTGCAGACACGGCGGGGGTGGGGGTGGGGAGGTCCTAAATGGGCATCAGCCTCCTGGGGATGGGTGGGAGCCAGTGGGGCTGCGTGGTGCCTGCTCCCCTTACTCCCTTGTTACCACCGCCATGGCCACAGTTGCCACCATCACGCTCACAGTCGCCACCAGCACCCCAGTCAGGACTGTCTGAACCTCAGGGAACTAACGCCCTAAGACACAGCACCCAGACCCTCAAAAAGGACACCAGACCCAGTTTTTCGGTAGGTTTGCACGCTTACAGGTTGAGTGTTTTTAATGGCATCTGGAAGTTGGGAATGGGGGTCGGGAGAGGGTGGAGAGGAGGTGAGAAGGGGTCAGAACAGGCCAGAGGAGATTAGGGATTTAATTAAACTGCCTGTTTGGGTAAGGGCTTTAAGGTGCAAAGCTGCTTTGCATGATAATGGCAGTTTATCTGAATTCCATTCTACTGAAGGAAGCCTCTTTTGCACTTAATTACTGTGGTTCCTAAGCCTGGCTTCTCCTTAATGGCCCTCCCCAGGGCAAGCAAGGCAGCTTGACTTTCAGTTTCACCCATGCTGGCCACTGCCAGGGACAGACCCCTAGTCATCTGTCCCTGTAGGAGGCCTGTCCATGCACCAGGCAGTACTTAGGTGGGTGGAGGGCCTTCAGAATGACTCAGCAAATTCAGGTCTGGCTTGGGGGTGACCCCTGGAGTCCCCAGCTAGGGCTCTTCAGCCAGCCTAAAAATGGCTCTGGACTTAGGCTACTGAGAGTGGGCCTCGGGTTTGGACTCCCAGAACCCCCAAACACCAGGCAGAACCATCTTTCACCTGGTAGGTTCCTGCTGCCAAACAGTGGCCTTGGCAAAGCACAGGTGTGGGGGTGAAGTGAGCTCGTGTGGGTCTGGACCAGAGGGAGACTCCCTGGCTGACGTGTTGAGGTGGCCTGAGGGTAGAGGGGCTGCATGTTTGGTGGTGGTAGTGACTATTTTTTAGGCAGAAGGACAGTGTTCGGCACCCATCAGGACAAAGGGAGAGGTAGATGGGGGGGCCGGCGGAGAGAGCAGAGAGCCCTGACACAGATGCGGGGAGGCTGCAAGGAGATGGGCTTCCACGTTTGGAGACTCCAGCACACACGGGCAGGGTAGGAAAGGGTTAAAAGGGTTTGCGAACTCCTGTTTCCAATCACTTGTCAGCCAGCTTTGCTCTCAGCCTTATCAGCAGGGATAGGGCCGTGCAGGGAGAGCTCTGAGAGCTCTCGTTTCCAAGCTCTTCCCAGACTCCAAGCTCTCAGCCTTCTCATTACCTTCTAAGGGCTCCTGCGCTCAGGCTCGGGGGAGGGCCTCGGGTAGGGGCTGGGAACCCAAACACGTTTAATGGAGTAGAGCACAAGAGTTACTAAATACAGCCCCGGGGTGGTGGTGAGGCTGTAGAATCTCAGCAGTAAACCTTCAGAGTCCAACTGTCCCTCCTCCTTTCCCCTCCTCACCAGCAAGCCAGATTAGTGCAGGCTGTATCTTCCCTCTTATTTAACTTACCATTGGCTAAAATCCTTCAATGTTTTTCTCTTTTACGGTTACCCCTGAGTCAGAAATCTCCATTGTGGATTTATGCAGTGACTGTTGGAACTCAAGTAAAGGACCTTATGTTTTGGGTGAAATTTCTCTTGATGGGCTTGACCCACACTAGTCTTTCGAGAGGTATGCAGTTTTCTATTCTGCCATCTCACCTGGTTATTAATCTACCCAGTTTCAGCCACTTGGTAATTTGATAGACCTGCTTTCCTTATCTTCATGCAAGCTATTGGTTTAAAACATGTTGCCTGGGAGAGGGCTGAGGGCAGAACCATTGGTCACGGCAATGCACATTGTCCTCTAGAACTTCCATCAACCTGTGGTCAGTACCCTTGGGTGTGGATCCTGTTACTGAACCAGCTACCAATTTCCCCTTATTGTGCTTCTCTCATTTGTAATCCACCAATGCATCCAGTAGGCTGCCAGAAGAAAAGAAAAGCACTTTTCTTTAATCCAACATACTTGGTCCCCTGAATCTCCCTGATTGGCCATTCTCATACCCTGCTAAAGAAGGAAGTAAGGTTCATGTGACATTTTGCAGTGGACACGAGATATGTATGAATGCAAACGTAAGCATCATAATACACTTACGCAAGCAGCAAGAGTTGCCTGCCAGGAAGAACAGTGGTCTGTGTGTCAGACACGTCAGGGAGCTGGGTCTGTACAGGAGAACTGACCTAGATAAGAAATGGGGATCGAAAGGGGATTCGAGTTTTTCAAGAGCAGGGAGCAGTTTGTAGAAGAGGTGCCAGTTCCAGTGATTTTTGGGGGTCCTGGGACTGCAAGAGTACGTCTTGGGCTAGAACCAAGGTATTACCCTGGTGAATGAGCCTCAGGCCTTGGTTCTCCTGGGTCTCGAAAGCCCAGACAGGTTTCCGAGCAGCTCAGGCTGTTCGATGCCTCCATGTCTCTGTGCATGCCACTCCCTCTGGAATCTGCCTGCTGTCCACCTGGTGAACATCTGCTCATTCTTTATTTTCACTGCATGTCTTACATCCTCTAACAAGTCTTCCCTGCCTCCTCCTCCCCCTCCCAGTTCCAGACTTTCCAGGTAGAGCTCACTACCTCTGCCACTGTGAACTTTTTTCCCTGTATAGATACCTACATTTGCACCAAAACCATTTTATTATATGGAGGTTAAGGACACAGACTTTGAAGTTCGGGAGACTTAGCTTTTGGCTCTGACTTTGCGAGTTACTTTAAGCTCTCTAAATCCCAGTTTCCTCATCTGTAAAGTTGGGACCATAATAAATACCTAATAGGTCTGGCCTAAGGATTCAATAGAAAATGAACACAAAGCACTGTATTGGTGATTTATTGCTGCACAACAAATTACGCCCAAATTTAGTGGCTTAAACCAGTAATAAACACTGTCTCACAAAGTTTCTGTGGGTCAGGAATTTGGGAGCGGTGGCTTAGCTGAGTGGTTCTGGCTTGGGGTTTCTTATGAGGATGGAGTCAAGATGTGAGCTGGGGTTGCAGTCATCTGAAGGCTTGTCTGTGGCTGGAGGCTCTGCTTCCAAGATGGCCCAGTCACCTGGCTACAGGCAGAAGGGTTCAGTTCCGCACTGGCTATTGGTGGGACGCCTCAGTTCCTTTCCACGTGGGCCTCCCCACAGGTAGGGCTTCTTGAATGTCTTAACCACATGGCAGCTGGATTTCCCTAGAGTGAGTGATCTAAGAGGGAGCAAGGTGGAAGCTCCACTGTCATTTATGTCCTGGCCTCAGAAGTCACGCACTTATCTCCACAGATCCTATTATTAACACCAGCAGTAGTCACTGTAGAAGGGGATGGCAAAAGCACGTGACTATTAGGAGGTGAGTATCACTGTGAGCTATCCTCGGGGTTGGCTACCACAGGCACTTAGCCTAATGTTTATCAAAAGCATATCATATGCAGGGGGCAGTGGCACACACCTAGTCCCAGCTACTTGGGAGGCTGAGGTGGGAGGATCACTTGAGCCCAGGAGTTTGAGGCTGCAGTGAGCTATGATTGTGCCTGTGAATAGCCATTGCACTCCAGACTGGGCAACATAGCCAGACTCTGTGTCTAAAAAAATTTAAAAAAGCGTATCACAAGAGCTCAACAAACAGTAGCTGCTATTATTATTAATTCACACATCTGTATTCCCTCCTAGTATGTAAACCCCTTGAGGGCCAAGATCGTGTCTTGGGCCTGTTTCTATCACAAGGTCCTGCAGTAACGTCAAGCACATTGGCAGGTCCACACCAAATGTTGATGGAGAATACATGAATGAAGCTTTTGAGAGGGTTAGTCTGGAGGCAGCCTCAGAGTGCACGGGGAGAGGATTCACACCTAGATATGAAGACGGATTCTGTAACTCAGGCACTTACCTGGAATTACTAGTGTGGATAAAATCAAGACCTGAGAGTTCTTCATATTTTGATGCTTGAGGACCAAGGACATTTGATACCAAAACAGCAGGCAGGGTAGGAGAAGTTCTTATGATTCTCTTTGGAAAGAAGCCCTGGGCAGCAATTTGGTAGGAAGCAATGATCCCAACCCCATGACCTAAAGGGTGACTCCCCTGATGTTTAATTCCCTGGACCAAGGCAGACATGGGAACTTCTTGATATTTTTGTCATACTCAAATTCCTGTCTTGATGATACCTCTGTTCTTCTACCAGGCAGAACAATTTCTCTTTCTAGGAGATTCCGATGCACATTTCTTAGAGTTAATTAAAAGGTGCACAGAGAGTTTCATGTCAGAGGCCCTTCCGGCTACTGCCGCCCTCCAAGCAGGAGAGGGTCTGTCTGCGAGGTAACCGATACCCTGGGCAAGATTGAGTTTCCAGACGTCTAGCTCACACTGGAAGCCTTGCCCCTACCCCCTGGGCTTGAAAGTTCACTGATTATCCTTTTCCCACAGACAGAGCCCTCTGTCCTTACCACTTCCCAGCAAGAAGCCACTCCCAGGAGGCTGCGCCTCCAGGAGCCTCGGAGACAGACACTGGTGGAGGAGCAGGTGCCTTCTCAGAGATTTCTCATGTAGATCACATTCCCAGGTGCCTGAGGTTCTGTTTCTCCCCAGTTCCTTGAAATCCCAAACCAGTGGCTTGAATTGTCTCTTTCTCCCCTTCTTAAAGCTAGGGTGAGTGAGGCAAGAAGAAGGAGAATGTTTTTCTATTGGGGTGGAAGGAGCTTGGTGGCACCGAAAAATATTTTACCCCTGGATAATAAAATGAAGATTGAGACATGCAAATTATGGACAGGACAGAACCATGGGAGACAGATCATGTGTGAATTGCATCTAAACCAAACCAGGTCACACATGGACCTCTGAACAGAAATTTGAAATAATTATTGATCAAAATAAAAAAAACCCCATAGTTAGGCTGGGCGAAGTGGCTCATGCCTATAAGCCCAGCACTTTGGGAGGCTGAGGCAGGAGGATCGCTTGAGGCCAGGAGTTCGAGACCAGCCTGAGCAACATAAGAAGACCCTGTCTGTACAAAAAATTCAAAAAATTAGCTGGGCTTGGTGGTGCTCACCTGTAGTCCCAGCTACTTGGGAGGCAGAGGAAGAAGAATCACTTGAACCCAGGAGTTTGAGGTTGCAGTGAGCTGTGATGATGCCACCGCACTCTAGCCCAGGCAACAGAGTGAAATTTTGTCTCCAAAAATTCCCTAACTCTGCATAAAAACCAAACAAACCAAAAAAACAAACCAACAACAACAAAAACCCAATCGCTGAGCCTGAAGCAATTATATGTCAGGGACCATTGTAATCCAAGGCAACTGGACTCTGGAACGACCCTCATCTCGAATGAGCTTCTTTTATGGTATTTATTTCACTTTCCATTAGGATTTAACCAGAAAGAGAAGATTTTTAATAGAGATGGCATTGGGAAATATGGCTAGTGGGAGAGTTGGGGACTTGTGCATGTGAGGAATTTTCTGGGTGTGGGATCAAGGCGATAGAGCTGGGCAAATGTGACTCTGTTGGTTTTCAAATTCCCCCTCTGCATAGCTGTGGAAAGAATTGTGTCATTCCTCATAGAAAACTCAGCCAAAGTGTTCCCTTGGAGATGAAAACACAGAATACAAGTCTTAAGAAACATTTTTGGGGGAAGTTAAAAGAATGTTATCGAGACAGTTGATTAAGTTATACAAAGAAGTTAAAAATAAAATAAATACTTATGACCAGTTGAAATATTTTAAAAGATACTAAAAAAAAAAAACAAAAAAAGCCAACCAAAAAAACCAATGTTGAGCTTTCAGAGGGGACCCGGGGAGTGGGGCAGAAAGAACCCAATTAGAGGACAGCATGGGAATCAGATTGAGGAAGCAGCATTTCAAACCAATGATTAGAAAAACAACAGCAATCATTGATTAAACAAACAAATTATGGTTCTAGGAACAGGGACACAAAACAGTCAGCCTTGGGAAGACTGTGTTATGTTGGGTAAGCTGTGAATTTTATAGAGCATCCCTCATTTCCTATGCGATTAAGAACATTGGATCCTCGCAGTCAGTTGACAATCATTTATCGAGCACACACTGTATGCCAAGCTCTGTGTTAGGTGTTGGGGATATAATAGAGACATAAAACATGCTCCCTGTCTTACACTAATGCTCAGGGTATGGTGAAAATGATAAGGCATAATAACAGCTAAAAGTTATTGAGCACTCACTATGCATTAAACACTTTACAAGCACTATAATCCAATATGAGCCAAGCCTGTATGGTTTTGGTCACATTTGTATAATATCTTCATTGCACAGCACACAGGCATTCGATAAATGTATTTTGAAAATCCTTACGACGACTGTGTGAGTAGGTACAATTATTACTGCCATTTTATAGATGAGGAGACTGAGGTCCGAAGAGGTTAAGCACTTGCTTGGTGTCACAGTTAGGAAGCAATGGGACAAGGATTTGAACCCAGGAAGTCCCATAAACCCCTACACCATGCTGCCCCCTTGATAGGTACATGAGCAAGCAAAATGCAAGACAGGAAGTGGAAAGCACTCCAAGGCTGATTCAAACAAACTGCTGTAGAAGTTATAACCTCTGGCAAGGGAAGGGAATGGCAGGAAGGGCCGGCTCCCTGGAGAAGATGGCATGTGAATTGGGTCTTAAAATGTGAATGAGATTCCCACAGGAGGGTACAAGTAGAAGCAACTTCAAGATGGAGGGATGTCGGGAACCAGCACTCAGAACTGGAAAAGTGACAGGTGTACCTGGAGATTTTTACCGTTCCAGTTTGCAGCAGGAGATTAGCTGGAGTGCGGTGGAAGCTGTCAGGAGCAGGGCTTCTCAACTGTCACCTGTGGTCAGGTTGCTGATAAAAGGCAGCTTCTGATCAGCAGGTCCATGGTGCTGCCCCTGACGATGCCAAGGCAGCTGGTCTGGGACCACACTTTGAGCAGCTGGGCTCTAGGGGCCTTTGCTTTCCTGGCTCAGGGATGTGGGCTTTATTTGGTAAGTCTAGGATTGCACAGATGGATTTTAAGCAGGGAAACAAGGCTTTAGAAAGATGATTTGGTGACAGTAGTATAAGACGCTCTGGAGAAGGTTTGGGCTTTGTTTGGTTCCTTTAGCTCCTCATTTGTAACCCTCAAAGCTCAGAATACTGATTCAGTCAGGGTCCACACAGGAAAACAGGAACCACAGAGACAATTAACAGAGATAATTCGGCTCTTGGCCTCCAATGGTCACTTATTCACCAGAGCTGCCTAGAAACTATTCTTGCCCCTTCCTCCAGAACTGGCCAGGAGCAACGTTTGTCCTTATCCTCTAGTGGTTAGAAAGGGGATGAAAACTTGGCTTGACCTTGGGCCATCCTCGTGAGTCTGTTCAGGTTCAAGCTGGGCCCCATCACCCAGCACACTCTAGATCGCTTTTCCACGATTGGCAGATCTGCTTGGGGAATGAAAAACGATACTAATATCAGCCTGAAAAAAATATCATCAGGAAATGAAGTCTGTGGCTTAAAAAAGAAATCCCACACTGCTTTCTGGCTCTGGTCTGTCTCCCAACTGGGATCTCTCCCTCTGCTTGGGGGCCTCCTTCCGGCCTCCTCCCCCCCTTCTGGTTTTCCCACCCTTTCTCTTCCCTCCACAACCTCCCCTCCTCCCTCCTTTTTTTCCTTCTTATCCTACAGGACCTCTAGGCTTCCTTCTTTCTTCTCTCTGGGCTCCTCCCTGGAGGCTTCAGGCTTCCCTTCCTGTCTCCAGGCTTCCAGCTTTTCCCCAGCCCCACGGAAGCATCTGTCTGTCTCTCTTTCACTTCCCATCAGGCAGTCCTAAATGCTGAATAGGCCCTTCAGACCAGGCCCTGAAGGGGACTTGGCTGGGGCAGTGGGGGGTGGGTGGTGCTGGGGACCTGCTGTGGCCATACAGAAGCCCATTGATAGGCAGCCCCTCGACACAGACAACCCAGTCCAGTCTCCATGGCTCCGGGTGGAGAGAGGCGTCCCTGGAGGCGGTGGCCAACATCCCGGCCATCATGAATGACCTCAGTGTCTTTGCTGGCTGGGAGGAGTGGGGGGAACCTTCCCTCTATAGCTTTCAAATCCTTAAGGCCTATCAGCCCCACCATCGGTGTGAATATATTCATCTTGAAAATAATTTGTTGGTACATCTCCATCAGCAGTGCTGATTTCATTAATTGGAAGAATTAGCTCTTTGTGGCCAATGGAAGAATATGGAGCCAAAACACACGGAACACTTTTCCCCAGTGACCTGGAGACCCTTGGACGAACTCCTGGGTGCCATGAAAATGGATCATTTTGCAGAAAGAATACCATTGGATGTTTATTTAACATCACTCCCCAACCCCCCCCAGACCTTCCAATCGCTCTCACATCTGGCTGCTTTTCTTGCTTCACTTTTTTGTGCAGAGCCAGGGCAGGGAGGAAACTTCATCAGTCTGAAAACATCCAGCAGCAAAGTGTAAATTAAATGTGCAGAGAGGCCACGGGAGGGAGTCTCACATCCTGGGGGTGGAGTAAGGAGACTGCGTCCTCACCCCCACTCCTTAGGGGCAGAGCTCATTGTGCATCCTGCGCCTGCCATTAGGAGCTGTGTGACCTTGAGCAAGACACTCAACCCTTCTGAGCCTCAGTTTCTTTGCTGGTAAAATAGGGAAATAAACACATACTCATAGGGCTGTGTGAGGATTGAAGAGGATAATGTATGTAGAGTGTACGGCACAGAGGAGACACTTGATTGATGGTAGCTACTATTATTGTTGCTGGGATCAAAACCAGGACAGAGTCCCAACTGTTCCCACGCCTCAGACACCCACCATTGCTGGCCCCATTCGGGGAGACAGATGGGCAAAAGTACGTCCGATGAGGGGAGACAGATGGACAGAAAAGGATGATGAAGGGGATCGGGTGGAATGACAGGCCAGTGGGGTGATGGGCAGATGGAACCTCTCATGGGGAAGGCAGATTTATGACAACCCAAAGGAGACACTAAGAGATGGTGTCCTGTGAGAGGGACAGATGGATGAGGGTCCAAGAGGGGAGACAGAGAGATGACAGGCCAAAGTGGAAGACAGATGGATGGTAATTTCATAGAGGTTGGGGGAATGGGGGTGGGCAAGCGTATGATTGGGAAGAACAGATGGACAACATGCTGATGATGGAGCCTGGGCTTCTTGTTTAGTCTCTGTTCCTCAGGCCCGGACATCCCTGAATTCATAAGAACCCCAGGGGCTCTGTGGGCATGAGAGAGAGAGAGAGGGAGCACACGAGCATGCTTCACATGGCCTGAGAAGACACGAGCACCAGGGTCAGCCTGGCCTCTGCTCCTCCCACAGCCCCTCCCTGGGTGGCCCCACAGATAAAGGCTCAGCTGTGATGAGGAGGAGGAGGAGGAGGAAAGCGAAAACAGCTTTTTTAAAGAAGAGGAAAATAAAAACTGGCTAAAAGTTTTATTTATTTAAAATAAAGGTTCAGTTATGCTTGAGTGTAAACATGCAGGCCCATCCCTCCCTCCCTGGCTCTTCTTGTGGCAGAGGGCTCGGACCACACAGCAAGCT